CACCCGACTTCGACTCCCAGAACGTTCTTGTTGATGAACAAGGAAACGTGACTGGATTGATTGACTGGGACCATTGCCAAACAGTACCACCTCAACTCGGTTACGCCTGTTATCCAGGATGGATCACTAGAGACTGGGATCCTTTGATGTATGGCTGGCCCCATATGCCAGGCTTTGAGGATTCTCCCGAAGAACTACAACGATATCGAGCGCACTACAACAAAGAGATGTGCAAAGAATTGTCTGGGAAAGGAGACTCTGCTCTCACGCAAGACTCCCACATTGCTGAAGCCGTTACCATTGCAGCATTCAGCTCAATGAACAGGCTGGAGATCTGTCGCAAGTTTGTTGAGGTCGCTCTAAATCTGCACAAAGACAACAGTGTGAGTGTTCTTTTGGACATTGGAGATGGTGACCTTGACAAAGAACACTGGGAGGAATTGAAAGACAAGCTGAAAGCTTTGGTTTGTTCGCCAACCACACCCTCACGAGAAGGTTGAAAGGTGTTTAAGGAGGAAACAAAGAGACCTAGAGAGTTGATTCGCGTTCGTTTCTGTATAAGTACTGCCTTAAGATGACTCGAGAAGATAGCTCTAGTCATAGCCGTATCGCAAACATTTGAATCATTATTTCTACGAAGATAACTACTCAAGTACAATCATATAAACTGGTCATTTAACCTTCACCATGGGATGTAACAAGAGAGACGGAAAACATCATTGGTGAGTAAAACCCTAATGGATGACTACAGAAGCTAACAAGACAGCCCCGTGTGCAATCAGAGTGCCAAAACTCGATGTGTGAAGAAACAACATCTCGCAATATGCAGTAAATGTAAATCAGGCTATTCATTGAAGCACAATCGTCGATGCCCCTATTGCTCTGACAAGGAGACCAAAGAGGAAAAGAGAATCGCGAAGGAGAAGAATGCTATCCAGGAAGAGGAGGAGGAAGAGTGATGTACAGCGCATGGTATATGATCGAAGAGGAGGAAGAGAAGGGAAGTTGGAAAGAGAGAGAGGTCAGAGAATGTTGTGCAGTTTAGGACATCTGGGTATAGAATGGCTCATTGTGTACTACTGGTAGTTTACACTGAACAGAGTTGCCAGAGCGAGTATGTTGCTTGCCGCTTGTTTTGATATTGCAATTGCCTTATTTATGGATATTAGACCTGTCATTATTTTGATATAGCATATGTTTATGTTAAGGAGTTACTGAAATAGCTGGAATTCATCAAGACTTTCAGACGTCTAGGATCACAGTTCAATTGTTGTCAACGAGCTCAGCTAGCTGCGCCTAGGAACAATTCAATTACGATAAAATCACATGCTAACAGTGGTTGAATGTATAATTGATGCTAATGAGCTGGACCTTGGATTATTGGTTCTCTGTCTGGCTAAGCCCCCAGGAACAGTGGACTCAACTGTCACTCGAACCTCAGAAGTCCCGCGTAGTATTTTGGACATATAACCTTGAAATAGCAAATATGAACCTTTAAAATTTAATGAAGTGAGGTTCAGAAGTGAAGAAGTGATGGGAAACGGGAAAGCAACTAGAGAGACACACGTAGATCAGGCAGTTACTGAAGGTTGTTTGGACTAAGCGGAGCTGCTCTTTCAAATATAAAAGAGAAGGCTAAGCGATTAGTAGCAGACTGGAAGATCTTTTAGAGTTAGTACTTTGTAAGGATGGATAAGGCTAGACGCTTCAAGGCTGTCTTTGCCCTTTTGGAGGATAAGCATTGCTCCTCAGTAAGGCAAAGCAATTTGTCAGTGGCGGTTCTCATTCTCAGGGGTACCGTTTGCTTTGGTTCTGGAAGAACGTAAATATGACCGAGAAGCCATGAAAAACATAACATATGCAACGTCACAAGTTGATAGCTGTAGCGCATACCTCGCGAAAAAGAGGCGGTGAGCAGGCTAGCCACTTGACAAGTCGTCGACAAGCTTTGGTCCCGTAAAAGAAAAACTCGGGAGCTTTTATGACGAGGTCTCATCAGTTAAGAGATCAAAAATGAATAGCCCAACTGGGGAAGAAATGCCGTTAGTGGTTGATGCACGCTAGTGTAATATTACAACTGGTTTGTTTACGTCTTACTGTTACTGTCCCTGATCTGACCTTGCACTCCCGAGGAAGAGTCTTGTCATACGTGGGAATAATTCCGAGTTTCTCGCAACGAGAGTTAATTGGGTCGGCATTCATATAAAGTTTTATGTTCAACTGGTGTAGAGATCTTGACTTCTTAGCCTGGAGTGTTGCTGTACAGACCCCTCTGAGCCTGGCCTTGTGCTGTGGAGGCATTACGATGATCTTTGATTGCGTGTAGGGTGAGATATAAAACTCACGGCTAATACTGGAATAGATAAGGTATCCTTTCTTTCGCACGTTCCTCTGGGAGATAGATGTCTACTGTGTAAAAGTGTCTGGCTCTTTTGCCATGCTCCACAGAATAAGCGTTCGTATGAGACCCAGTAACAAGATGAAGTTAGAACACGATTAGGTTAATTAGCTCACGATAAGCGAAAAAGTATTTATAAATACCCAAACCTGGGATGGCTTAGACAGGTAGTATTTAGTATTTGCATGCACTTGGACAGTGTGTGTTTGCGTGTCGCTAAACGGTAACAGGCGCGCTTCAAAGAGCGTCAGCCATATCTACTACCTCATACTGACATGGGGTGAGACCTTATTAGCTAATGTGCTGGTTGTCTCCCAGCCATTTGCGATTTCCCTCGAGCATGAATGTCGTGTCTTTACCAAAGTTTGACTTCACAATAACCACTTAACTTCACTTACGACACGGCAAGGACGATATTTACCGCTGGTGAATAAGCTCTTGGTTTTCAGCTTTTCTATTGCTTGGGCATCTGACTTTCAAACCATGCTTCAGGTAATCGCCAAGAGTTATGAAGCTCACAGAAGCTTCTTTCTCGGGGGTTACAAGAGGCTTTTAGGAGCTATTATTCTCGTTGTTGTTAATTCTGCTCCCTCGATCTTCGACGACTCGAAACCCCGACGCGATAAAACCACTCATCACATGTAAGTCTCGCCCAGGAAGAGGAGGAGAAGGGAGAATATCCAAGACTGATGCAACTTCTAGGACAAAGATGCCTCCATTTTTGTGTAATGAGATCTGGACCCTTGTATTCTCCAACTTCGAGGATACCATAGATGTCGATGATGGATCAGACCTTGGCCTTTATCCATCCCCCAAAGACACTGATATTCCAGCTCTTAAATCACTGTGTCTTGTCAGCCATCAGTTCTACAGATTGGCCAGGCGAAATCTGTATCATACCATATCGAGCGGAAAGCTACCCGACCAACAGAATAATACAAAGATGTGTTTACTTGCCCGTACGCTCCTCTTAAACCCGGAGCTCAGGTCGGAAATCCGTGCGATCGATCTGAGTTCCTCAGGAAACTGGAAAGCTCCCTTGGTCAACAGTGAGTTTTGGCTACCAAGCATTGAACGGGTCGAGCCTACTCAGCTCCGAGACTTGCTGAGGGAAGACATAGAAAGACACTCTGCCACCGAGGCTGGGACATGTTTTCTTCTGGCCCTCATGCCAAAACTTCGGATGGTCGTATTGACAGACCCCCAGACACACTCCAAGGCACTGACCTGGATCCTAGGGGGAAAGATGAAGACTCCCCAGCCTGGCACAGCAGATCGACCAGAACCAGTTGCGAACTACCTCGGCCAGCTAGAAGAAATACACTGGTCGCCATTACGGGCCAAATCAGAAGACCCGGATACTTGTAGCACGGAACATTTACTACTCCTTCCCAGTATCAAGCGACTCTTCCTGTCACCTTTTGCACCCAACCTCACTATTAGTCCTCCCATAGTTCCAGACCTTCAGAGCGGGCTACAGAGTTTGACACTCGACGGTGGGATGATCAGGCCCGCCTTCCTACACTACAGTCTTTCTCGGTGCAAGGCCTTACAGCACTTGGACCTGGATCTTACAGATTGCTACGACGTCGATGAAGAGGATTTGACGGTAAACCTATACGACTTTGGAAGAATTCTCAGAGAGTTTGGACAGACCCTTGTCAGCCTCAGGCTGAGATTTTACGATTGCGAAGAGTACGCACAAAGCAGGATTGGCTCTCTACAAGGGCTTAAGCGCCTCCGACATCTTTCAGCTCCAATATTTGTACTTGCAGGTACATTGATGGACGCAGTCCCGCTATCGGAGGTCTTGCCTGAATCCGTTGAGACGCTTGAAATGGATTTCGTTGATGTGTGTAGGGTGGCAAATTGTGACACTCTGGCAACAATGTCTGCTGCCAACGACGACCGAGTGATTCGCTTCCTTTACAACAACCAATTACCCAAACTACAGGAAGTCGTATATGGTTTTTATATTGACGGCGAGAATGACAGGATCGCTAACTTCACCAAAGTTGAGGGCTGGAGTGTCAAGAACGAGGCACGACTACGGCGCTCGTTTGCGGGAGAGCCTTATTCTGGGAGGCTTGAGCTAGTACGCGGAGAATAGGATGACAAGATGGATATTGGTTCACCCTCCCTACCTACGCACCTACAGACCTAATGAAATAACGAGACTATGGCTTGGAAAGAGATGATCAATTTGATGAAAAGCAAACAGACTGTTGTATGACAGATATATTACATCACCCACACACGAGTACCCGGTGTGAATATACCGAGTTATTTCAGCTGAGAGAAGAGACAACTTGAGACGCAGCAGAAACGGTTTTCATTGGCAACCTGCAAGGTATCATTCCAGACTACGACAATGGTCTTGATTCAAGCCACAGTCTTGCTCGTGCATATCATGTTACTCGTGATGATACCCTACATATCGTGGGTTACACAGCATAAGTACCTCACAAAAGTACCTTTTGTACTTAAGCACAACCTGCCAGCCTGATCAGCCCCGATCTCGACTCCATCGACATCTCATCTCCTCTCATCTTCGCTGCCTTCATTCAATTCTACCCCAATTGCCATCTCAATCACTATCATCATGCTTTTGTGTGTCCCCAACGAGATTTTGCTTCACATTTGCACCATTATCGAGTGCAAAGATTGGGAAGGCGGATGGGATACCAAGTCCTCCTACGAGGCACTCTTGTCTCTGAGCCGCGTTTGCAAGCGATTGCGTGTGATTGCAGAGTTCCATCTCTTTCGAAGCATTTTTGTCCTCGAGGAGGACCCTGATGAGAAATGGATGCAACTTGCAAGACGCCTGCAACAGGATCCTGAGTGGGGTCTCACCGTGAGGACGTTCTGCTCCCAGAGATACGATCCCATGGCGCATCCATACTTCCTCGACTGGATTACCAAGCATTTCAAAAAGCTTTCCTCATCACCTGACCGTGATAGAATCCCCCAAGGTCTCAGGACTGTCATACAGCAGGAGTTGAAATTCAGAATATTCAAACGGCCATACAGAAGTTTGAAAGTGCTTCTCATGCTTCTCATGCCTGAGCTGAGACACCTCGAGCTCTGGATTACTGACCTCAAATCTACGCCGTTTCTTTTGACTGAAGCATTTGAAGGTGACCAAGACAAAGGTTATGCTGGGTTTGAGCCCAACGAAGGGGGTCAGGTGTATAAAGGTATCCCGGATATCCTCCTTTTCCGCCATCTCGAGTCGGTAACTCTGAGAGCCTATGATGACAAACTGGGCTCCCCAATACGGTGTAAAACAGTCAGCGGTCTCTTCAACCACCCAAGCATCAAGGCTCTGAGATTTGACGGCTTTGCATTGTTGCAATATACTTGTTCGAAGTTGGGCTGGAGCAAGGCGCCCAGCAACCTGACTAGGCTCGACCTTGAAAACTGCATCCTACAGCCCATGTCCCTCCAAAGCATCATGGAGAAATGCACAAGCCTCACCCAACTCAATATGGGCCTCATAGGCTACGGAGACGTGAAAGATGCTAGTCATAATCTTGAGGAGTTTGGCGACGTTCTCAGAGCCCATGGGCAAAACCTGATCGACCTTTCAATCACGAAACCAATGTGGGATCCTCACCTCGCTGATTGGAAGAACTACATCGGAAGTCTCAGAAAACTGGAAGTTCTGAGACATCTATCCATCGGTAGGTTGAACTTTGTTGGGCCCATAGATAATGAGAATAAGAGGTACATAACCATACACGACAAACTTCCTCCGTCCTTGGAAACTCTCACCATTGAAGCAGAGATGACGGGCTGCTCGTGTGACTTGGATAGAGCCAGAGAGACAGAAGAGCTAGTTTGCGACATGCTCATGTATGAACCACTTCCGCGGAGCTTGAAAAAAATATACATGAAGTTGCTACGGGGGCCAGACGCTCAAGGTTATGAAGTGAAGGAAGCTGATAACCTTGGGGCCTGGCAAGTCGGGAAGAAAGGTGTATGGGTGCGGAGACGCAAGAGGGCAAGGGGGGACGAGGATGATGACGATAATGAAGAGGAAGATGAAGAGATCGAGGAAGATGATGAGAGCGAGGGCGAGGGCGAGGAGAAAGATGAGGAAGTTGAGGAGAAAGAGATCGAGGAGGTCGAGGAGGTCGAGGAGGTCGAGGAGGTCGAGGAGTGCAGGGAGTTGGAAGAGCATGAGGAGTGGTCGGAGTGCGAGGAGGATGTGGATTATGAAAAGGACAAGGAGTATAGAGTGATTCAATTCATCAGCAGTGCGACTCGGACTGGATAAGGTAGTTAGTTCTAGTACAAAAGCCCTCATAAATCGCATTTCAAGTACACGGTCAATATAGAAATCTCATTGCTCCGATTATTTTCTCTCTGTTCTTATAGCAAGGGTTGTGATAGAGCCTGATTACAGTGCAGAGACAACATATCACCCAACATCGTATATTACAAGGCTGGGCGTTCATTCATTATTTCCGCCGACATACCGAGATATTAATAGGACTTACACAAAGTCAATTATTCCCGTTGAACTAACTTAAATCAAATTGAATATACAGTTCCACCAAAGAAACTTCAGCCCTGATTCGTTCTGGTCTCTCGGTAATTATTGAAGCTGAGTCATGGCCTAGCCCGTTAGATCATCGCCAGAGCTTAAACATCGAACCACTATCATCATCCTCAGATAACGAGCCCAAATGGAGAGCGCACTTCCTAAAATAAGGTTAATTGGATCTGCCCGGAATGCTAGCGCTTTGATACGGGCAACATCTTGTGCATCCTGCTCTTCTTCGTCGCCTAGGAGCTTCACAAGCTTGAACCGGCCCCCGCCAAACTACCCAGGCCATGTTCCTCTTACGAGAGTTGAACGGGCTGGGCTGGCCATTGGGGCCAGCGTCATGTCCTTTTTCAATCCCTATCGCCATGGTATGCGAAATGATTTCCTGCAGGAACCCTCTGTTTCTCTAGCTGATCGCCCTCAGACCTCATCGCTGCTACCGGCGAAGCCACTGCTACACCCTACTTTATCTATCGCCTCCGCGACGCCATGCTCGCCGATCCAACCGGCCGTCGAATCCTCCGAGCTCGACCTCGAATTTCCTCCAAAACCCTCTCCCTAGAAGCTCTGCGCGCACTGCCCGAAAACTCCGTTGGCCGCGCCTACGTAGGCTGGCTCGATCGCGAAGGCGTGTCCCCCGATACTCGAGCTACGGTGCGGTACATCGACGACGAAGAGTGCGCATATGTAATGCAACGATACCGCGAGTGTCATGACTTCTACCACGCCTTGACTGGTCTGCCTATCGTGCGCGAGGGTGAGGTTGCCCTCAAGGCTTTTGAGTTTGCGAATACCTTACTTCCTATGACTGGCTTGAGTGTCTTCGCGGCTGCTACCATGAAGAGAAGCGAGAGGCAGCGATTCGCCTCGATATACCTACCTTGGGCCCTGAAGAATGGGGCACGGAGCAAAGAGGTCATCAATGTATTCTGGGAAGAGAGACTTGAAGATGATGTTAGTGACTTGAGAAAAGAGCTGGGTATTGAGCAACCGCCCGATATGAGAGACATTCGAAAGAGGGAGAGGGAGGAGAAGAAGAGACTTAAAGAGCTGAGAGAGCAGGGGCTATAATTGTCTGCCTGTTCTCTCCCATCTGGCTTCTCTTGCAATACCTGTACTCTATGTATTAAATGTCAAATTTAGAATTGCCAATTAGCGTTGTTATTGAGGCCAAAATTACTGTTCCAAGATTCCTGATCTGCCAAGTCAATTGCATCATGCACATCATCAAATCATACGAGTAGAGACCCCAGATTTTACCCTCGACGTCTGAGGAAGAGTTCCCATATTCTGCACCTTGAGCCATCACAGTAATTTTGTCCCCTTTCACTCGAGACAGAAAAGCAGGTCCCGCCCACGAATTTGCCTTATTCCCTCGCTCTGATCCTCAATTCAATGGTATCACAAGCAGCCTCTACAGGTCCAAATCGTCATCATCGTCCCACGCCTTGCGTCTGCTCACAACAATCTTCTCCTCCTCCTTGCTCTCCGACATAGCATTGAGAAGCTCCTTGAGTTGTGCTTCAGTGACCTTCTGTCGAAGTTGACCGGTTTGCGCAAGTGTGATAAGTCGGTTCTCGATGTCGGCGGCGCGCTCCTCCTTCACAAGCCGGATGCGGCCTAGACGATCGGCGGCTTCGGGGTGGAGGATCTGGTTGAGGATGTGTTGACGAGCGTCATTTTGCTGCTGTCTATTCAAGGTCAGTAAGACAGTGTCGCGCGGTATGGATCGAGACAACTGACTGGCGCTGCTGCTGTTGTTCCTGGCTAGAAGGACCGCCTCCACTGCCACCGGCTTCAGCCTTCAGCTGCTCCAGGCGAGCTTTTCGTAACTGCGAAGAGCATCAGTGATGAGTTCCCGATGAAACCACAAGAGTGAGCAACCTGTTCTAACTCTGCGTCGTCCATGATTTTGATACGTGACGATGTTCAACGTTTTAGTGAGTCGCGAGATCAGCCTGACGCCGCGGGGCTGCTTTGCACATGGTTGGAGGGGCATTGCGTTACGTAAGCAAAACTAAGCAACACATTAAACATCATGATACTATTGATTTAGTGTCCATTATTCTGTTAACTGACAAAGGGTTGTTGAGTGTATTTAGTATGAGAAATTCAAGTGCTATTGTGAAATCTCCAACCATATATAGATGTCCCAAGTGCTAATGATGCAATTCGTTAACACTATCCTATAAAAAGTCATTTTTAAACATGTGCTGCTGAAACTTCTTCCTAACATCGTTTGGTGATGCCTCCTGGATGGGTATGAAAGACCTTAGCCTTTTATTTTGTTCAATACGTCGGGCCTTAATCATCTGAACCATCAGTTGATTCGTGGGTGTGTCTATGCCGAGGATCCTCGCCCGCTTCAAGAAGTATCCATTCTGATAGTTGATGTCTGTTTGCAGACCCTTGTTGATGCGTGTCAGCAGATCACTGGGGGCTTTGCTCTTGCCTGTGATGCGACGGTAGCAGAACTTTTTGAGGCCTTCTCCGCGGAGGAACTTTATGAGGTCGGGTGAGTTTTGAACCTCAGGCATGTTCTCCGTCACTATAGCCATTTCCCCTAGAAGCTTGTTCATCATCCTTTGAGCATTTCCATTTTCTAGTAGACCTTGGTATGAAAGGTCAAGGAGCACACAGACGGGCTCAACAGCAGCCGTGAACATAACGGATGGTAGTTTGAACCTTAGCCAGTGCTCGTAATTACTAAAGGTTGTGTTGAGCTCTTTGACCCTTCTCAGCGAATGCATCATGCTAGGCTGCTGCTCAACAGGGATGTAGAGCTCTTTCTCTGCATTTAGTACCGGATCGGCTTTGGTGAAGACTGTTCGCCCAGTTCTCAGCTCCTTAACTGAATCCCTGTTCCGGTTGAAAGCGAGCGCATGGGACATATGGCCCAGGTAAAAGTTGGGCTCGGGTTGGGTTCTGTTAAAGAGTTGTTCGCGGACTTGCTCGAGCACTCCCATGCCGTCGTTAAGAAGGCAAATCGATGTTTTATCGTCGATCCGATCTTTGACTGAAGTAATCGCCCTAACAGCCTCAAAGCCACGGCCGGTAACTATCAACTCATCGATATGCGAGCGGTCAGGTTGAGGTACAGCATCGCTCTCGGGCATGGCTGCATTCTTCTCGACATATGCATTCTTCCTTGTTCGTTCAGATTGAACCTTTTCGACATTTCGATATCTCGACTTGGGCATCTCGCGGAATGGCACTGTCTCAACGGAATCATAAACGCTACATAGAGCGTGGGCGATGAATCTCGATCTGACATCTTCGCCCAGGATATGAATCTTATGCACTGGTCCAGATTTCGCTGCTTCAGCTGGAATGACAACCGAGGGGACGTAGAATTGCGACGAAGGGATTGTTGATGTAGGTGTGACAGATCCGGCTTGGGTACTAGAGCTTTTCCACGGCCGTGATGGCGTACTGCCGAGTTCTGGGGGTGCGGCCTCTGGTTTCTTCTGTTCTGTCGGAGGCACTGCCGAAGCAAAGAGTCGTGTATAGCCGAAACTGGGGCTACTTTGGAGCCATCGGGTCGATTCTCTCGCTATTTGAATGGTCGGCCGCGTCTGCATTATAATTTCCAGCTTGAAGTTTGTGATCGAGGCGTCGTGGAGAGAAAAGGTGGTCGGAAGCCGAAAGATCGAGATTTAATATGTGCACGCGCGCATCCAGACTCAAGCGAGAGGGGATGGAGGCTAGCCTTTAGGACTCGGTTTTTGGTAAGTCTGATTAATAATAGGTCGGTTTGTTATCTCGCCAGTTCGTGAAGACGTTGAGTTGCGTTAGAGCTGGTGATGTCGATGCTAAATTGGTGATGCGCTGAAGAATGACAGAGGCGAGTCCGCTTTCACCTCTGGTTCGACATAGACCAGGGCCAATTAGAGTAACAAGAGCCTAAGTTTTCGATGATCAATAGTGGGCCTCAGAAGCATCAACAATTGGCCAATGAGTGCTCGGCTCCGATATCGTCTGATGCTGGAAATAGTGATGTTGAAGGCTACACAGCATGAAAAGGAAATGCAAGTAACAGAATTGGCATATGGAACTCACTAAAAGGAATCCACAATACATGGCATTCTTTTGTTTTCAGCTTGAGGAAGTTCTCTGCCCGCGATACCCTTTAGCTACATTACTTCGCTTCATGAATGCAAAAGCCACTAAGCCTGATTGGGTCTCATGGTTGACAAGTTTCTGCGCCTGTGCGAAGTCCTTCATGCGACGACGTGAACATCACAACATTGCGCCTCTCAACATCCCTATTCACAAAAACCAACATGACAGACGTCAAGGACATCACACCGGAGCTCGATCGGCTGGACAACCAGCTCGATGATCTCGAAGAAAAGCTGCAGCCTTTGTTGGGCAACCTCGAAGGCATGGCCTCTCAGTTGCCCCTATTAGACAAGGCGAAACTGTTCTCACTTACAGCTTACGCGATCGAATCCCTAATGTTTTGTGAGCTCTCTTGCGCCTGATACGACGCCACATGATCAATACTAACATTCGCGATAGCATCACTGAAATTAAATGAGGGCAATGAGGCTCAAACACAAGCCGTTCTTACTGAACTCAAGCGAATTCAGCAATATTTTGGAAAGATCAAGAACATCGAGTCTCCCCCGGAGCCTGAGACGCGTACCCTGACTATTAACCAAGAGGCTACCGCGCGTATCCTCAAGGCGGACCTGGTATGTAGCGGCGAAGCCATGACAGATCCAAGACTGACAATTTACAGGGCGACAACAAAACAATCAGCAGCAAGCTTGCCGAAAAGATTGCAGAGGAACGTGCCAAGGCATTGCTCAAGTCTGTCGAGAACCGAAAGCGCCCAGCAGAGGAGTCGCCCGTTCCATCTCAGCCCAGCTCTTCTGCTGATGGAAAAGATAAGAACAAGAAGAAGCAGAAGAAGAACAAGAAGAACAAGTCGAAGAACTGAATTGCAAAGCAACATTACTATGCTAGTGGGCCAAGTGGTTGGAAAACGCACAGAAGTCTGGCGCCAGCTGATGATGGTCGAATTCAGAGCATGGAGCTTCAGGAGGAGGCTTACATTGATACCCAGCTTGTGTCAGGCAAATAGATGGCTGAGGACCTATATGGCCCCCTTGAAAAGTTGAATTCACTGGGCATGGCGTTTGGGAATTTAGGTTTGACTTTTTGATTCAGGGAGATAGTGACGAGACAAATACACTTAGACACCGGACTCTTCTAAAACGCAGTTTGCTTCCGAAATTTGCTTTCTTGCGGGATACAGTGAACTTTACACCTATAGGGAGCACGAACTTGTGTTTCAATTGGCATATGCTTGTAGATTTAAGATAAGGCGTCAAATCACAAAGAGCTGCTTACTGGATAGTACCTCCCTTGTCATCCGGCATTGATTGATAATTGAAGCTTATGGCATCTCAACGAGACATATCAAGCCAACATACTGAAAAATACCAATTAACTTTAGATTTCTAAAGGCAATATGTGTATAGCCTCCATAAAGATAAGTCTCCCAATTAAAATTAGAATAACATGCGTTTATGATGACTCAATTAGTAACCTTATTGGCAGCTGCTGGGGTATAAGAAGCCGTCTCAGACCTGATCCCTCATTGTTGTCATCCGGCATCGCATTAGATTTATGGTAAAGTTGAGCTCTTATCGCTATAATACGTGGAAAGATAAGCCAGAGAGGTGACTAACAATTTTTCACCCCACCATTATCGGACGTGAGTCAAGGGGAGCAATCGCGGGGCACCCACAACCCCTCCAAGTTCCTACCCAAGGCCGTGATTTCTGTTTCCGCATTGATTGAAGCAGAAAACAAAGCACAGCACAAAATGGCGGTCATCTACGTCGACGAAGAAGCCGGAAGCGATCTCCCTGAGGTTCAGGGCACTGAGGCCACCCCCTTCAAGACTCTTCTTGAAGCCTACTACCGCCACGGAGCCGAGTCCGAGTACCAGGTTAAGAAGAAGGACGACGAGGAGGGTTACAAGCCTGCTGCCAAGTCAGCACTGAAGAAGGCCGTCGCCTACGCTGCTCAGCAGAAGAAGAAGGCTGATGCTGCTGCTAAGCGAGCTGAGAAGGATGCTCAAGATGAGGCCGCTCGTTTGGCTGTTCTCGAGGAGGCCAAGAAGCTGAAGATCACTAACGACCCTTCACTTCCCGAGCCTGTTGCGATCAACCTCCAAGAGACCGACCCGTCCAAGATTGGCACACTCCGAAAGAGCAAGGATGAGCCCACTGAGGGAGTCAAGCGCGTCTCCGTTCAGGGCCGTGTCAACCGTGTCGCTAAGCAGGGTGGCCTTATTTTTGTGACTCTGCGCCGCGGTCTCAACTACATGCAGTGTCTCCTTTCCGGAGACCTCTCCAAGACCTACGATGCCCTTACTCTCTCACGAGAGACCTCCCTCGAGATCATTGGTGAGCTTTGGGAGGTTCCCGCCGGTGCTCACGCCCCTCTCGACCGAGAACTTCGCGCCGACTACTTCAGGGTCATCGCCAAGGCCCCTGGTGGTGATGAGGCCTTCACCAACCTGGTTCCCGTTGACGGTGACACCAACACCCTCATGAACCTCCGCCACCTTACCCTCCGCCACGAGAAGCCCGCCGCCGTCATGTTCGTTCGCGACATCGTCGAGGATGCTTTCCACACCGTTTACAAGGAGTTGGATGTCAAGAAGGTCAGCCCTCCTGCTCTTGTGCAGACTCAAGTCGAGGGCGGTTCTACTCTTTTCAAGTTCGACTACTATGGCGAGACTTCATACTTGACTCAGTCCAGTCAGCTTTACCTCGAGACTGTCCTACCTGTCCTTGGTGATTGCTACTGCATTGAGAAGTCTTTCCGTGCTGAGAAGTCTCTCACCCGTCGCCATGTAAGTACCCCTATATGGCAACTAGCCAGTTACT